TAGTAGGCATCTTTATGCACGTTTCTGGCAGTAGATGCTGGCCTTCAGCTGGGGCTTTAGCTGGGGCACTTGGCCAGAGTACTTGCATGTGATCTAGCTGTATGGCCTGGGCTTCCTTGTAGTATGACATCTCCAGATAGTCAGCTTCTTCTGCAGCAGCTCAGGCCTCTAAAAGTTTGTGCTACAGCACAAGATAGAAGCCAATTGTGTTTTCTTACTAGCCTTAGAAATCAAGAGGTGAGTCAGTAGCCCTCCCAGGTTTAAGGGATGGGGATGAACTCTCAATGGGAGGATCCATAAATAGGAAAATGTAGAACATTATGGAATAGAAGATGGTGTCTCAGCCGTCTTTGAAAAATATAATATGCTACTGTATCTTCAGTACCTAGCACATAATGAGTGTCAGTAAATACTGAATGCATACTAAGCATTGTGAGGGTTTTTTGTTGATTTTGGTTGTATGTGTGTTTTGTTGTTTTTTGAGACAGAGTCTTGCTCTATCCCTGGGCTAGAGTACAGTAGCTCCATTGTAACTCTCTGCAACCTTAAATTCATAGGCGTAAGTGATCCTCTGCCTCAGCCTCCCAAGAGGCTGGGACTGTAGGCACACAGCACCTCGGTCGGCTAATGTTTTTGTTTTTGTTTTTGAGACAGTCTTACTATGTCACCCTTTGTAGAGTGCTATGGCGTCACAGCTCACAGCAACCTCAAACTCTTGGGCTTAAGCTGTTCTCTTGCCTCAGCCTCCCAAGTAGCTGGGACTACAGGCGCCCGCCACAACACCAGCTATTTTTTGGTTGTAGTTGTTTAGCTGGCTTGGGCTAGGTTCCAACCCACCACCCTTGGTGTATGTGGCTGGCGCTGTGACCACTGTGCTACAGGTTAATGTTTTTAAACATGTATTTTGTAGAGATGGGGTGTCACTATTTCCCAGGCTGGTCTTGAACTCCTAGGCTCATGACAAGATTGAGCCTCCCAGTGTGTTAGGATTACAAACATGAGCCACCACAGCTGGCTAAACGCTATGGTATCTCACAAATCTTTCTCTCACATAATGTTTATAATAATCCATAATATTGTGATGGGTGTTATGAACTGTTTTCTAACAAATGAGAAAACAGAGATTCTTTTGCACCTTTTTTTCTTTACCTATAGTAGAATAGAAGCATTTGCATCCTTGGCCCTGAGGGCATGGTTGTTACTGATTTGCTTGAGTTGATTCAAGAAGAATTTTTTCAGTTCTTATTATATTTTTAGCATTTTTTTTCATTTCTCTCCATCCTAGTTTGTCCTATATTTTTGGCATTATTTTAGGCTTTGTCATAGAACAGTAAACATAACAGACAAGGTCTCTCCCCTCATTGATTAAAACAAGGTAATTTCAGGTCAGGCACATTGGCTTACACCTATAATCCCAGCACTTAGGGAGGTTGAGGTGGGTGGATCACATGAGGCAAGGAGTTTGAGATCAGCCTGAGCAACATGGCAAGACCACGACTCACAAAAAATAAAATAGCTTGGTTCGAATTTTTCATTAATATAAGAGAGAACAGGGGGTGATGTAGGGTGACAAATGTATAGAGGGTAATGACTGTGATGATACAGGCAAGACCATGAGTTGTAGATAAAAGTCACTGCATTTGGCCAGCAAAGTCAAGAGCTTGTTGGGCATAGTACCTGTCTATTGTGTCTTTTGTGGTCCAAACTAGCATAAATAATCCAAAATGTTAATGTTACCTCATCTGTCCTAACATATTGTTGCAGTGGAGGAAACACTAGACAGAAATGCTGAATGGAGCACATTTTTGTCCTCAAGGAGCTTATTGTCTAGTGGGGATGGAAGATAAACTAAGTAGTTAGAATATAGTGTGATAGGTGCTATAATAATAGATATGGGATAGGTTTTGTTAGAGTTTAGAAGGTAGTAGTACCCTGCTGGTCTGGTGGTATTAGGGAAGGCTCCGCATAGGAGGTGACATCTGAACAGCTGTCTTAATAAGGAATTAGGTGGATGAAGACTAAGGAGAGCATTCCAGGCAGAAGGAGGGACGTATAAGAAGGAACAAGGGGAATTGCAGAATGTTTCATAAAGTGAAAATAGTGTGGGTGTGAGGAGAATGGTCTGAGAGAGAACGCAGAACAAGAATGGTCTCACATGTTGTTGCTAAGGGATTTGAGGTTGATCCTTACAGGATGGAGTGCTCCTGAAAACTTTGGAACAAGGAATAATACTCCAGAAAAGGATAGCCAACTACAAGTGCAATATCAACAATGACTAATAGGCACCACAAATTTAACATGCCCTGAAACCTAACTCCTGATTCCTCCTCCAAACACCTGCTTCTCCTGCTTTTCCCCCCAGTGAACGACAGCTTCATTCTTTGTGTTGCTCAGTCCAATCATCCATAACTCTTCTTTCCCTCACACCTCAAATAGTGTATCAAGTCCTATTGATTCTCCCTTTAAAACACAGTAAGAATTCATCCTCTGCTTACTACTTCACTTCAACCTGAGCCAGCACCATCTCTAGGCTAGATTATTGTGGTAACCTAACTGGTTTCCTTGCTTCTCTCTATGCCCCTCTACAGTATCCTTTCCACATAACACTTATAGATCCTTCTAAAAGGTGAGATCACATTACTTCTGCCCTTTCTGATGGCTTCCTTACAGAAGCTACAAAGCCAATGTCTGTCTGTTCTCTCCTCCTCCCCCTATTCTTTCTTATTTTACTACAGCATACTGGCCTCCTTTTGGTTCCTTGGACTTTGCTAACATTCTTGCCTCAGAATCACATTTGCTGTTCTCTTAGCTTGGCATATTCTTCCCCAAGATATCGATATTGGTGGTTCCCTCTCTTTATGCAGGGCTCTGCTAATGAGGCCTTCCCTAATCCCTTATATACAATAACAAAACTCTTCATGCTCTTTGCCTTTATTTTTTCCATAGACCTTCTGCCATCTGACATTATATATTATTTATTTGTCTCTTGTAGAATGTAAGCTCTAAAAAGATAGGAACTTCTACTGCTTTTTTCACTGCTCTATCTCCAAGGTGTAGAACATAAGTAACCACACAATAAGTTTTGTTGGCTGAAAGAGTTTATTTGCATTTTTAAAATTTCACTGTGGCAGCATCATGGATAAGGAAGATAGGTGAGGAATTGACACTTGGAATTGAAATAATCTAGTCAAGAGATTTGGAGGGCATGGAGTCAAGAATTCCTTGGAAGAGATCAGGTGTAGTGGCTCACACCTGTAATCCTAGCACTTTGGGAAACCAAAGTGGAAGGATTGCTGAGACCATGAGTTGGAGACCAGCCTGAGCAAAACCTCATCTCTACAAAAAATTAGAAAAATTAGCCAGACACCCTGGTTTGTGCCTATCGACCCAGCTATTTGGGAGACTGAGGCAGGAGGATCACTTGAGCCCAGGAATTCAAGGTTGCAGTGAGCTATGAATCAGAGCAAGACCCTGAAGCAAAAAAGGAAAAAAAAAAAAAAAAGAATTCCTTGGGAGAGAAAGCTGACAAGACTTGGCAACTCATTGGATAGGGAGAAGTGAAGGATAAACATGCCTAGATTTCTGGCTTGGATAGTTTGAGCAGAAGATGATGTTGTCAGGGATAGATGAAACCATGAGTGTGAATGAAAGAGACCAAGGAGAATAGTAGTAAGGTGACCAACCATCCTGGTTTGCCCAGGATGGTCAGTTTGGGCACTGTAAGCCTCTCATCCCAGAAAACCCCTCAGACCCAGGCAGACGAGATAGTTGGACATTTCTAAGACACAGAGTGAAAAGATTGCTGAAGACTGAACACCAACAGTTGTGGAAAGCGAGGAGGTGGAGAGGTCTGTGCAAGAAATGAAGCAGAGGCTACTCTTGTGTGGAAGAGTAGCAGGACACCCAGTGGGGCATGGGTTCATGGAAGCCAAGAGAGGGAACATTTCAAGAAGAGAATTATCAATAGTATAGGCTGAGTTTCTCTGAGGATTTTTGAGTTTCTGGCTGTCCTTGGCAGAGGTATGATATAAACTCAGTAAATGTTTCTTAAAATAAGAGACAAATGATATCTTTTTGTTGCTAGACCAAATTTTTATTATTTTTTTTGAGACAAAGTGTTACTCTGCTTGCTGACCAAGCTACAGTGCCATGGTGTAAGCCTAGCTCACACGACTTCAATCTCCTAGGTTCTAGTCCTACTTCATCCTCCCAAGTAGCTGGGACTACAGGCACCACCAGGCCTGGCTTTTTTTTTTTCCCTCCTTTCAATTTTTTAGAGATTGGGTCTTGTTATATTGTCCTGTCTGATCTTGAACTCTAGGGCTCAAGTGATTTTCCCACCTCAGCCTCCTGAGTTGCTGGAATTACAGGTGTAAGCCACCACACCTAGCTTCTTGATTCACCTTCTATCCATTATATATCATTGTTGTTTTAATGCAGGTTCAGTCTCTGTTGTCCATTTATTAGATTTATTTTTATTTCAGTTACTTACTGTGCCAGCACAATACAAGTTGACTCTAATCCTCATGTTCCATCTATAGTCGATCCTTTTTTTAACTCTGCATAAGACCAAGCAAATATGCTGCTGTTTAGAAAATTTGGGCTCGGCGCCTATAGCTCAACGGGCTAAGGCGCCAGCCACGTACACCTAAGGTGGTGGGTTCGAATCCCCAGCCCAGGCCCGCCAAAACAACAATGACGGCTGCAACCAAAAAATAGCCGGGCGTTGTGGCGGGCGCCTGTGGTCCCAGCTACTTGGGAGGCAGAGGCAGGAGACTCGCTTGAGCCCAGGAGTTGGAGGTTGCTGTGAGCTATAATGCCACGGCACTCTACCCAGGGGGACAGCTTGAGGCTCTGTCTCAAAAAAAAAAAAAAAAAAAAAGAAAATTTGATGGACTATCCGATTTTATATATCTAACTTTTAAGTCATGAATTAAGAGTTGATGAGGTAAAAACTCTACTGATGACTTACTTGTTGTGCCTTCTTTTCTTTGGACCAGGATGCTGTATGACTATGTTGAAAGGAAGCGAAAGGAAAATTCAGGAGCCCAATTGCACGTCACCTATTTGGTATCTGGCAGTGTCATTCAGAATGGACATTCTGTAAGTTCTCAGAATCCTATAATGTGCTTAAATGGGTTTGAGCTATCAACAGCATTATAATAAAGGTGAGAGAAAAAAACAAAATTCAATATTACAGAAGTTTTAAAAGGTATTTGAAATTGATGATTATTTTGTATTTTTAGACTAAAACTGAGAAGTTTGGATAATACGTTGGCTATGATGCATAGACTCATGATTGCACAGTTTTCCTAGGCAACAAGGTGTTAGGAGACTGTTTCCTTTATTCCCTATACCTCTTGTTTCCTCCTGAAGGTTCCTTGGGGACAGTAGTGGTTAGTCTTCAGCTTATTCAAAAACTAGTTGTTCACAAAATGTAATTTTATTTTTTTGAATTGAACTTTATTTTAATTTTGAGCATTCATTTTGGCAAGCTTATGCCTAAGTGGCTGAAGGGTAGGAGTTGTTGGCAGGGACTAAGCTAATGTGGTACATGGGCTGGAAACATCTTTATTCTGCATCTTCCTTTTATAATCCCATCTAGTATCTGACCATGTATCAACACAGGTTGCTGCTGCGTTCTCATCATCTTGACCATAGCTTTCTCTTAGCTACTTCCATGTCCCTCTGAGAGGCCCAGGGATGACTGACTGCTCCCATGTCATGGTGGGCACCAAAAGCTCTGCTGAGGTATCTCCTTCTTTTTCCTATACTAGACTGAGCCCTGGGAACTTTAATAATTCTCCTTCTCTGGCTTCCTTCCAAAAGTAAGCCATACCTCCTCTGTTCTCACTTCCTTCAAACCTCCTTTCTGAAGGTTCTTTTGCTTTTACCACCTCAAGTCCCACTGGACTTGGTCCAAAGATCAGGGTCCCTTCTCAGCTCCACTAACATATATTTTCCTTTCCTTTGACTTTCCCTTATAATCTTAGGTTCAAATCCCTGATTTATCAAAATAATTGACTGAGTTTTTTTTTTTGACACAGAGCCTCAAGCTGTCCCCCTGGGTAGAATGCTATGGCATCACAGCTCACAGCAACCTCCAACTCCTAGGCTCAAGCGAGTCTGCTGCCTCTGCCTCCCAAGTAGCTGAGACCACAGGCACCCCCCACAACACCTGGCTAATTTTTAGTTGCAGCCATCATTGTTGTTTGGCGGGCCCAGGCTGGATTCAAACCCGCCACCTTAGGTGAATGTGTCTGGCGCCTTAGCCACTTGAGCCACAGGCGCTGAGCCTGAATTTTTTTTTTGAAGTGATAGATCCCAGTCATGTGAGATTTTAAACTAGAATACGACCAGGCATGGTAGCTCATGCCTATAATCCTAGTATCTGGGATGCTGAGATGGGAGGATTGCTTGAACTCAGGAGTTCCAAACCAGCCTAAGGAAGAGCGAGACCTGATCTCTACTGAAAGTAGAAAAGTTCATGAGGCATGGGTGACATGTGCCTATAGCCTCAGGTACTCAGGAGCCTAAGGCAGGAGGATCATGTTGAGCCCAGGAGTTGGAGGTTACAGTGAGCTATGCTGATGCCACTGTACTGTACCTGGAATGTCAATTTAGTAGTTCATAAGTAGACACACAACTGCTAAGGAGATCAGATCCTTATATTCTCTAGCCTGCATATTCTTTCCTTGTTAGCAAATTATTTGACAAGTCAAATGATAATCAAGATATTTGAAGTGTAGAGTCAGATGTCACTATGTCTTTGAAATACAGAAGTGTAGTAGACCTGATTCACTTTCTCTCAGATAAACCCACCTTCAGAATTCTCTTCCTGTATGGCTCTTGAATAGATACTGTTAAAGTTTACAGCTGAATGTCATATTTTCTTCTATTGCCAAGGTTAATGAACCTCTTCCATCTCTTTCTTTAGTTATGCCAACACCTTCAATCTAGATGTAGTAAAGTCTTTATCTGGGAATCGCTGTGTTCCTTTAAATCAGATTTTTTTGTTTTTGTTTTTTGATCACTGATCACTTTGAGAGTCTGAAAGAAAAATGCATATGTTAACTTTCATAAAATTTTGAGATCTCAGAAATCTTCTAGGGTAGAATCCAAACTGAAGAATTTATGTTTTAAGATAATGTAGATTTTTCACTCCTTAACTACTGCATTATAATTGCTGCATCATAATTTGGGGTCCTTAAATTGTTTTCCTAGTTAGTCTTCAAAGTCCAGAAGATTCTTGGATGAAACTGAAAATGCATTCAGATTGTATTCCTCAGTGCCTTTTTCTGAGACCATTTTCAAAGCAATGTTTAATAAGTTAAAAATTACTAAGTTATAGCTTGCTTGTAGAAGGCCTTCCATTTTTAAATTTAAGAGGGCTTTTTTTTTTGAGACAGTCTCATTATGTCACCCTCAGTAGAGTGCTGTGATATCATAGTTCACAGCAACCTCAAACTCTTGGGCTTAAGTGATTCTCTTGCCTCAGCCTCCTGAGTAGTTGGGACTATAGGCACCCGCCACAATACCCACCTATAAGAGGGCATTTAAATTCTGCCCTCTTTTAAATTCAGCGTTTTTCAGTAGAATGCTTTTTGAAACAATTATAATCAGAATTCCTTATATAAAATAAATTAAGAGTCAGGTTGCTATGGTTGAAGTGGCTGGCAGGATTTTGGACCTTGTGCTTGCTCTCCTAATACCCTCAACTGGGAAGCTCTTTGGAACACTTTAGAATTAACTGACCAAGTGTGGTTGTTTACCTCCTTAAAGGCAGTCCTCTTAGGGAAAGGCAAATTTTTAAGCATAATAGCAGGATTGTTATTCAATTCTTCTAATTTCTTTTTAAAGTTGTAAGTGTTTGTAGAAAGAAAAAAGATGTTACAGGCTTTGTGTGGATTTTAATAAAAAAAAATTAATTTTGGCCAGTGAGGTAGCTCATAGCTATAACACTGGCACTCTGGGAGGCTGAGATAGGAGGATTCCTGTGTTGTTGATGTTGAGGCCTGATGTTGAGAGCCTGAGCAAGAGTGAGACCCTGTCTCTACAAAAAAATTGAAAAATCAGCTGGATGTGGTAGCTGGCACCTGTAGTCCCAGCTACTTGGGAACTGAGGCATGAGACTCGCTTGAGCCCAGGAATTTGAGGTTTCTGTGAGCTATTTATGATGATGCCACTGCACTCTAGCCTGGACAACATAGACTTTATTTCAAGGGAAAAAATACATATGTGTATATGTATGTAAATTTTATTTTTCCAATTATTGTGATTATGAAAAACATTTAACAATAAACAGAAAGTTAAAGCATTCTTCAAATCTCATCCCAGAGATTCTTTCTGAGAATTATTTGAAAATTTCAAGGTAATGTTTGGTTGATTCTCTTTGTGTGATGTGAGGGGCTGTCATCCTCATTTATCCTTTCTGAGTTCCCCATTAGCTTTTCATCTAATGATTTTAGCTGTATCACTGCCTAATCATTAATTCACTGGCGATTACAAATCCTTCTGTATTATTAGCTGGAAACTTTCCTATGAAGAATTTTTTTCTGGTCAACTAGCCCTATTTTCCCTAACTACTAGGGAAAGTGGTCAGGGAACTTGGCCCCTGCTAGACTCTGGGTTTGTGGGTGCTAAACTTAGTTTTGTGTCCTTAGTCTATATTAACAGGAATGCGTTGAATCAGGGCTCCACTCTGGTCTCCATTCGTATAGCACCAGCTGGCATTGCTACTCCATTGTTTTTATGTATTTTCATAAATGCTGAGGCAGCAGCTAGCCACACCGAACTATCTGGGCTGCCCAAATTTTCTTGAGGTACAAGTTGGTGTTTGGGGGCTCTTAGAACCAAGCTGCATGGGTTTTGAGTGGTTACTTCCTAATGCTCTATAATTTTTATAATAAGCTCTGTAATTTTTAGTGTGTAATTTTGCAGAACATGACATTTTTTTCTTTCCCGGAATAAACCAATGAAAATGACATTTTTAGGTATGCTTGGTTTGTTTGTTTGTTTTTTTGTTAAAAGAGAAAACACATTATGAAAACATACGAATATTCCCAGTTCAAATTTATGATTATACGTTAACTTTTGATTTTTATATTACTCTTTTCACTTATGTTGTAAATTTTGGTGGTTCCTAACATTAATAGAAATATGTATTTGCTTTAGCAAGTATATGAGGTCTAGAAAAGCAAAACCAATATTATTACTAACAATTTGATTACTGAAAATAGTTTCAGATTTCTTTGCAGTTCTTTGTCTGTAGCATATGTCTTACTAAGGTTACACAGTCATCCTGTGTTTCAGAATCACTTGATTCCCCACTGTGGTAAAGCCACCGATTCAATATCTAGTTAAATTCAATTTTATTTTTGCTTTCAATAAAGGTTCCTTTCTTTACCTTACAGGTATTGGTTTTGCCTTTTCCTTCCATTGTTTTTGTTATTGTACATTTATATATTGTATAATATATTTATTATATAAATATTGTATATCATATTTAAGCAAATATATATTCATATTACCCTCTTGCTTATAAAAAGTTTACATACCATACTTATTTTCATGCAACTTAGTTTTCACTTGCTTTTTTTGTTTCACAGTGGGTCCTAAACATCACTCCATAGCAATTATAGAAATTGCTTATTATAAGAATAATACTACTATATTGCAGTAGTAATAATAATACTTTATTGTTGTAATAATAATAGTACTGCATAATACTACATTAATAGGTATGCCTTAGTGTATTCAGCAGTTTCTTTTTGTTAGTTATTTGGGTTATTTATAATCTTTGGCTTTTAAAGTAGTGCTGTCATGAATAGCTTAGCATATATGTGTTTTGAATACTTTTGCTAGTGCGTGTTAGGGTTATATTTATATATTCCTGAAGCTGGATTGCTTGGTCAAAGAGTAAATGTACATGTACTTTTGTTGAGTATTGCCAAATAGTCCTCCATTTCTTATTCCCACCAATAATGTATGAGGGTGCCTGTTCCACAAAAAACATGTTGTCTGTGTTTCAGGGTTATATGCATTTCTTTTCCTGTAAATTGTCTGTTTAAACAATTGCCCATTTTTCTAAAGAGTTATTAGTCTGTTTTCTTTATTTTTAGAAGCTGTGTATTAACCTTTTATGATATATGTTATAGATACTTTTCCCACTTTATCATTTGTCTTTGTACTTTGCTTAAAGTTTTTTTACCATTCGAATGTTAATTTGTTAGTTTTTGTGGGTTATTCGGCTTATTTCCGGATTTTAAGTTATATTTAGGGAACTCTCCACGTTTTCTTCTAGTACACTTACGTTTTCAGTTTTTACGCTTAAATCTCTGATCCATTTAGAACTTATTCTGGCATGTAGTGTGAAGGACAAATCTAATTTTTACCTGGTTCCATACAGTTATACAATAATTCTCATTAAATACCTCACTAAAAAGTTTTCCTCACACTGACAGGAGATGCTATTTTTTTTTTAATTGTAGCATTGAAATCTATTACTTTCCTTAACCTTATTGAGAAGTTTTAGAGTAAAAAATTAAAAATTAGTCTGACTTTATTAAATTGTAATATATAGATATTAAGAAATAGCTAGTATTTTCCTAATTTCACATCATACACATTGGAATGTGAAACTTTAAAGTTGCAAATACTATGAGCACTAATGAAATGTTATTTCCTTATAGTGCCACAAGGTTGCAGTAGTGAGAGAAGATAAATTGGAAGGTAAGTGTTTTAATGATTGAGCAAGTTTTTCCTCTTATGGCATTAATGTAGGTTCAATAATAAATCTGCCCCTAACATCTGCATATAATTTATTTAGTTATTTGACTGAAGAGCTCTATTAGTAGTTTTTGAAACATGTTAAAATATGATACTGCATCTGCCTAACTTCACATTTTTTAAGGCCAAAAGCTGCTGACATTTATAAAGCACTTTTATCACTGGCTTACAAAGTTTGTGACACACACACAAAAAACTATTATGAATACCATATGGGATACTTTCTTCAACTGTAAAAAGACAATAGTCTCTAAATATTATGTTGTATTCCATAATGTTTTTATTTAGAAAGTAAATTAAAGAATGCTTTTCTAGAAATCCAAAAGACTTCTAAATTAAATTTGTCCACAGTTTCAAGACTATTAATGCTACTGTTCTATTGTTTAAAAACGCAATTCAAACGAATTTAATAAGAATCATTCCTTGTGATCTTGGACCTATATCTCAAGACAAAACCTGTTCTGTTGAATTTTGTATATAAAGACTCCTCTCAGTGTTATGGGGGCATTTGCTTGCCAGATTTACTCTAAAGTATTCAAGGTGGTGGGGATGTCCATCTTTTTTTCCTTTGAATTCCTACAGTGGTAGGCAGCAAGATTTCTTCGTTCTATATATAGATACATAATGATTATCTGCTGTGTGTTAGGCACTGGGCATGCAGAACAAGTTAGGCACAATTCGTTCCCTTGTGGAACCTAAAATTTGTTTTTGTGATGTTCTGTTGTGTTTTTCCTCTGCAGACGTAATCTAATTAGTAATATTTTTGTTCCATATATAGAGTTGCTTTCTCTAAACTAAAATTGAAATACATAAGTGAGTCTTCTCAGATAGAGATTACTTTTTCTTCTTTAATTATGTGCTAGAGAGTAAGATTCTTCTCTGACTTAAAAAAAATAGATCATCATAGTCATCATCAATCATTAATTAATATTTACTAAGTGTCCACTGGATGAGTGATACCCTCACAGGTGCTGTACTTAGAAATGACTCACCACCACCTACCTTGTCATAATGTTCCCATTACAGACAGAAGAGTTGATGTTATACTGTAAATGTGGCTGTTTGGCCTATTAGATTTTTTAGACCACCACAAATTGCAAATGGTTTTAATGCAGAAGGGTTTCTTGTTAAAGTCCCCACATGCTATGAAGTTTGTGTATTAACAGACTACTTTTCCTGTTGACTTGTAGCAGTGAAGTCCAAGCTAGCCGTGACTGCCAGCATCCATGTGTACAGCGTCCAGAAAGCCATGCTAAAGGACAGTGGGCCTCTGTTCAATACTGACTATGACATCCTTAAAAGCAACTTGCAGAACTGCAGCAAGTAAGCTCCTTCGTGTTCCTTGTGGGCTTCTTTACAGATTGATTTTGTAAGATGTTTACACAGTGGCTGCCTCTTAAGACTGCATGCCAAGTCTAGTAAAACCCCATTTATCTTGCAGTAAGACACATGCCTGGTTTTATTAGTACATCATAAGGTGAAAAATAGCAGCCACAACCCATATTGAAAACCCCAGCAGACTACCCATAAATCTATTTCTCATATATTTATCCTGTCACTGCCACCAGAAATGTTCATTCGCCCCCTCTAGTTCCCCCACACCAGTCTCTACTTGTCTGATTCCTACCTATCCTTCAAGAACCACTTCAAAATCTTGTCCTTTAAAAAACTATTCCTAATCTGATATCTCTCTGCTTTCTATCTAAAAGCTATTTTTTCCTAGGCTTCCATAACCAGGATAAGATCTTATAACTCTCGTATCCTTTCCTTCACAGCATAGGGAGGTAGTGGGCTATAATGTATGTACGTTTTGAAAATTGATGGTCATAGGCTTCAGTCATGACTTTGCAGCTTAATAGTCCATTGGCGTTGGACAAATTACTTAAACTCTTGGAGCTTTGGTTTTTTCATCTTTGAATTAGCTGTAATAATGTCTGCTTTGTGGGATTTTATTGAGAGTTCATGTCAGTTTCCCAAACATACTTAACAACTACTACTTTGACAGGAACTAAGCAAGATGATTTGAATTCAGTATCTGATGAGTACCTATGACATATCACATACTACCTAGTGAATATGGCTCAGTACCTGCTCATGGAACTGATGATCTTATGGGAGACAGTATGCGAGTGCTGTAATAGGAGTAATAGTGTAGGAAGATGTTTGAAGATGCATTTATCCTCCATGTTTAGATGGGTCGAGTTAGGTGCCAAGATAGAAAAATCTTCCTAAAGCGTATAACATTAAAGTCGAGTCCTGAAAGTACAGTAGAAATAGCCAGGCAAAGGAGAGATGGGAGATTAAAGACAGAGCTAAGACAGAAAATATAATGCTGTGTAAAACCATACTAGTTTTCTATGGTTGGAACTTAGGATGAGAGGTATGAAATAATTAGAAGACTGAAGAGGCCAACTAAGATAAGAAGTTTAGACTTTATTTTGAGAGTGCTGGGGAGCCACTAACCCTTTTGAAGCGGATCAGGTGAAGTGATCAGAAATGAATTTTAGAAAGATCACTAACTGTGGTATTGAAGATAGAATAGAGGGAGATAATCTAGAGGCAAGGCTATCAGAGAAGAGAAATATTGCAATGATCCAGGGTGGAACTAGCAATTACCCTGTAGAAAGGTTAAAGAATCACAACCATCAAAAACCTCAATGTGTGATAGTTGGAAACAAGATGTCAGGGTGTGGCTGTTCATAGTGTTAAGGATGATACCCATGTTTCTGGCTTGTGATGCTTTAGGAGAGGGAAAAATGATGAGTGAGGTTTGGGCCCTGCTGAGTTTGAGAAGCCTGTGGGAAGTTTACTTGGGGATGTCCATTGCAATAGATAAGTGAGTCCAGAGCTAAGGAGAAATCTAGAGTGAAGATAGAGATTTTGGAATCAGGGAGGGATAGGTAAGTAACTAAGCCATAGCAGTAGTCATGCAGACAGAACATATAGAATAAAAGAGTGGCAGAAAATAAAACTGTAGGCCATAATTACTAGCTGTGTGACTTGGGCAAATTATTTGACTTCTATGCTTCAGTTTCCTTATCAGTAAAGCTAACAAAATTGCCAGCCTCACAAGATTATAGAAGATTAAATGGCTTGATACATGTTAAGCACTTAGCAAAAAGGTGGGAAAAGAGAGGTCCATAGGGAGAAGACAGAGACAAGAAGAAAATCATCAAGAGTACACTGGGCTCCAGAAGCTAATGGAAGAATTTTAGAAGGAGGGACTAATCAACAATGTCAAGCATTGTTGAGAAGCCAAGTAAGATTAGAACTGAAAAGTGTTCATTGGGCAACTCCTGTGGCTCAAGGAAGTAGGGCACTGGCCCCATATGCCGGAGGTGGCAAGTTCAAACCCAACCCCGGCCAAAAACTGCAAAAAAAAGAAAAATGTCCATTGGATTTAGTGATGGCCTTGGTAAGAACATTTTCAGTGGACTACCCGTAAATCTGTTCTGGTCAGCTGAATAAATGGGGACATAAGAAAGTAAGACAGTGAATATGTGTAACTCTTTAACAGTAAAATGGAACAACAAACAGGTTTCTGTAAGTCCCATGAGAATGGGGATCATGTCTAATTTGTTAACTATATACCCAAAGTACTTCCTGGCTTATAATAAGTATTCAGTAAGTAACTGTTGAATGAATTAATGATAAGAGTTCTTTTTTTCTTTAGTTCAAAACCTTGAGTAAAATAAGCATATAAATACAATTATATAGCCAAAGAATAATTTCCAAGTCCTGTGTCTTTTAGGGAAGGTTCTAAGAAAACATTAACACCCTGGTAAGTTTATATAAAATATATTGTTAGATTTCAAAAATAATGTGTATTAAAATCTAGGTTTGATGTGTCAAGCTCTAAAAATCAGGTCTTCCATTATATCTAGAAAGTGAACAAATACAAAAAGCATCTCAAAAGTTCAAATGAAATTTGCACAGGGCCCTCTAAAATAGACATGGCAAGTAGAAGTATGGTAATAGGAAGCACTTCAGTGGAACTTTACCTAAATACTTAAAGTATCCTCAGTAGAAATGTGAAAAATTTATCTCCAGTAAAGAAGTATTTGGTCCTGAGAATTATGGGCCACCTGAGATCTGACTCATGATTTTGTGTGTTTTAAGAAGTGCTGTGACAGGAAGAAAGTTGAAATTTTAGTATTGCAGAGATTCTTCTCTCTTCGGACATACTCCTGGTCTTAACTTGGTCTCTTCCTTGTTGCCAAATCCTGGTCTTGACCTTAAGGTGTGGAATGCAGACCAAACAGAGAAAGAGTTGTCTCAAGCCAACTTTAGATGTTGAAAATGAAATAAAACATTGCCTTTTTCCTTGTATGTGGAAGCACTGCAAGGCCAGAAAGGAAAAGCGGTGGGTGAAAGTAAATGATTTCCGTCTGTTATTAACTCTGATGCACAAAAGATGTGTATCACTGTAGGGTTTCTGACTGTAATAAATCAGTGGAAGATTTTTGGAGCAGTTGACTCTGGCTTTGGGGCTGCTTAGTCTGAAGTTATTAATACTATTGAAATGATTTATCAGGGATTTTTTTCTCAGGCCAGGTATTCTAGCAGGTGTTCTAAAAAGTCGTGCTTGGTTGATCTTGAAGATAATCGCTACTACCATGTAGTTTCTAAATCCCTCCCCTATCTCCCACTCCAAATGGAGGTGATACACTAAAGGAAGAGAAGCCAGAAGCCTCACTTTGTCATTCTTTCAACTTGTCTTTCCTGTTACTTGGCTATTGTTAGGTTTTATGCTGGGTGCTTGAAATTTAAAAAATAAATAAGATCTTTAAGGAGCTAATACCTACCCCCAATAAGCAAAAGACTGAGGAAAATAGAATGTTTTTCTTTGTTAGGAAAAGTTGTGCTTTAAGTATAACCTTTGAGAAGTCTGAATCAGTTATCTATTTATAATGTAGAATGTTTTGGTTTTTTTTTGAGACAGTCTCAGTATGTCGCCCTCAGAGTGATGTGGCGTCACAGCTCACAGCAACCTCACACTCTTGGGCTTAAGCAGTTCTCTTGCCTCAGCCTCCAAAGTAGCTGGGACTACAGGTGCCCACTACAATGCCCAGCTATTTTTTTGTTGCAGTTGTTTAGTTGGCCCAGGCCAATTTCAAACCTGCCACCCTCTGTATATGTGGCTGGCTCCTTAACCACTGTGCTATGAGTGCTGAGCCAGAATGTTACATTATTTATTGTGTGAAAAAAGTACATCTACAAGGTCAGATGATTAAGTTCATGAACTCATTTTGAAAAAGTGTTACATACCTCTTTGCTGAATATCACTATGGTCACCTTCAAAGTACTCCCCTTTGGAGGTTATGCACCAAAGCCAGAGCCTACTCCTCCCTTCAAAGCAATTTTAGAACTTTTTTTCTGGAATGGCCATGAGATCTGTCATCCTATAAGGTCTGACAAGTTCACAAACACATCCTAGAAAAAGTGTTTTGAAAGGTGGACTAGGCACTGGTGTCAGTGCGTAGCTTCCCAAGGGGAGTTCTTCAAAGGTGACCATAGTGATATACATTAATGAGGTATGTAGTATCATTTTTTCTAGGATTAGTTTGTGAACTTAATTGTCCCATTCACATAATAGAGAACATGGGATAACCATTTGGTTTCCCGAGGATGGTAAAATTACTAAATCTTTTATTGTTTGGTGCATTCTTATTCTTTTGAATTGGGATGCTTTTTTCAAAGACTATTCAATATGGTATGGGAGAAGACACTGATTTTAACCCTATATCTTACTAACTAAATGTATAACTTAAAACAAGTGACTATCTTTCTTGGTAGAGGAGGGGGAAAAGGAAGTTACTTATTCTTTCTAGTATTTGTTTACAAAAATAAGCATTTTGTACAAAAAAATTCTAAAAGCCATTGTAGTTTTAAAATTCCCTAATCTTATAATATTAGAGTTAGAAAGTGTTACAGAAGAAGCATGAATTTGAAAGTAAGATTTGATACTGATATTAGTTCATTGTAACATTTCTGTCCTCAGGTTTAGTGCCATACAATGTGCAGCTGCAGTCCCTAGAGCTCCTGCTGAATCCTCATCTTCCAAGAAGTTTGAAGAGTCAGATCTTCAGGTATCAAGTGAGATACAAGCAAACAATGAACTGACTATTAATGGACATGGCCCACCTGCCTCCAAACAAGTTTCCCAGCAGCCCAAGGGGATTATGGGAATGTTTGCCTCTAAAGCTGCTACTAAAACCCAAGAAACCAACAAGGAAACCAAAACAGAGTCTAAAGAAGTAACAAACGTAAGTCTTCTTTGAGGATATGCCTTTTTTAAAGCTCAGAGTAGGTAACCAGAAAAGTATTAACAGTTCAAGTGGTAGTATAATGGTTAATTATATAAGTTTCTGATACATAGTTCTGGTTTTTCTACTTTAGTTTGAACCCTTTAATACTTGATACTTTCATCTGAAGTAGTTTCTTTTTCTTTTGATAATGCTTCTCACTAAGCCTTGGATTCTCCTTCTGTAAAATGGTAATTCCTGCCTGTGCATATCACAAGATTTTTGTGAGACTCAAATGAAGTAATGCTTGTGAAAGCACCTCAAAAATTATAAAATTCAAGGAATTGTTTAATAGCAATATGTCATTTTGTAACATCTTACGCTCTGGGCTTTGCCATATCTGCTTGCCTTGCTAGTGTATTTCCCATTTTTGTTCTGTTTTTATGCATTTTTTTTTCTTATTGTGCATTCATTTCCCTTAGTTTTTTAATTGTTTAGTCATCTGAACTAACTCAAGGGCATTGACTTAAGATGGGCATTGACTTGTGTTCTTTGGAAAAGGAGAAGTGTCAAGGGAAACACTAACATTTATCAATTTCTTACTGTGTACAAAGAGTTACCATTTCCAATTTGCATGTGGTAAAATAGAAGCCTAGGCTTACGTAACTTGTTAGTAAGTGGTAAAATCGGGATTCAGCTTTACCTCTGCTGGTTCAAAATGTAATGTTTTGGGTTCCATTGTGTACCATACTGCCTACGAAATAGTTTTTAAATGTGCTCAAGAAATGTTTAGATACATCCATGGATAATAATTTTATAAGAAACTAAGCTTTAGAGATTATGGCAGGTCTGTATTATTGTTGTAGATTTGTTCTAATATCTAATGCTCACACATTTGGCATGATTATTATAGAGACTATCATCACAACATTATGGTGTGTTATGCTATTGAAGAGATTGTTTGAGACTGTGCTGCTTCAATAGCCACCTAAGTGCTAGAAAAAATCTCACGTGATTTCCTGTGTTTTTTATAGGCATCTTCAGCAGGCAGCAAGGCACTGGGGAAAGGGAACATGATGAGCAACTTTTTTGGAAAAGCTGCTATGAGTAAGCATGTTCTTACTTTACTTGGATTAATAAGCAAAGGTTAATGTATTAGTATTTCATACCTGAGTTGAAAGCCACTTTGTTTAGTGTATGGCCAGCCAGGAGACTACCATGTAGCATTCCTGCATCCTAACATAAATTTTCAGTGTACTGACTAACTAATACATTGATGAAGGTAACCCAACTGGAACAAAGGACATTATGGGTGAGTTGGGCTCAGTTGAGATAGTTTACTATTGGAGGATAGTTTACTATTCTAACTTTTACTTCCTGCCTTGAAAAAATAATGAGATATTTGCTTGAGGGGGGCTTTTATTTTTATTTTTATTTTTATTTTTATTTTTTAAGAGACTAGGTCTCATCTGTCAACCTAGGCTGGAGTGCAGTGTCACAGTTCACTGTCGCCTCCAGCTTTGGGGGCTCAAGTGATCCTCCTGCATTAGCCTCCTGAGTTGCAGTGACTACAGGTATATACCACTATGCCCAGCTGTTTTTTCTATTTTTTGTAGAAATGGAATCTCACTCTGTTGCCTAGCCTGATTTTGAACTCCTAGCCTCCAGTAATCCTTCCACCTCAGCTTCCTAAAGTGCTGGGATTATGGGCGTGAACCAACACACCTTGCCTCATAGGGTTCTTGAAAAGGATTAAAAGAGAAGCTTCCTGGTTAAGCAATATAATGTTGAGGTTAATAACATGGATACCAGAGTTGGTTTGCCTGGTATGACTGTTATCACTCCTATGGCTGCAAAAACAAATCTTTTGCCTTTTTTTAAGTTGTAATTTTGCAAATTACTCACAATGATGACTTAGACCTCAGTGTAAATTAGAAGGTCCAGGTAGTAACAGGCATTTAAAAATATTTATTTTTTGAGAAAGCAAAAATCTCCTTTATTTAAAAAAAATATTTAAATAAGAATTCTTTCCTATGGAAAGAACTAGTAGTCACATATTTTCATACTTCTCATATCAAGTACACATTCCTTGAGGGGATGTGGCAGAACACCAGGAAGAATTCAGGAGCCACAGGATAATTATGGCACACTTTCTTGGAGCATCAGTTTTACACAGATTTTGCAGGGAAGCATTTTGTTACATGCCTATGCCAGCAAAATTGCTCAGAATTCTGCTTTTCCATGAGAGCTAAATTGGAGGTCAAGGGAGGGTTTGGGATGACAGCTTTTTTTATTTGCCATAAAAGCTATCAGAGAACATTTTTCTGTTCTGCAAGCATATGGAAGATGTGATATTTTCAGGTTATTGAGAAGCACAATGATATTATTGCAGGCACAGTGCATAGGCTGTGAAAACACCATGCTATGCCACTGGCCTGCCTGGCTAGAACTGGGCCACACTGAACCCAATCAGATTATGGTTTCTTGGGAACTCTGATAAAGAGTGCATTTTTGTTGTTGGTTTTCTTTTTTTTATTAATGCGTTTATAACCTTAAAAAACATAGAATTTTTAAATTATTATTTTGAAAATATATAAGATATATGAATATTTGCTAAAAAAATCAAACTATACAGAAATACATACTTATTCATGTGCTTATTTAGCAAATATTGATTGAACACCTTCTGTATGCTTAGATTATTATGCACTGGTGATGCAATGGAGAAAAAGACAAATAAGGTCCTTGACCTCATGGTCCTTATTGAATAGGTAGAGACAAACAAGTAACTGTGGAAAAATTAAATAGTTAATGATTGTAATTGCTAGGCAGAGAGTAATGGGGTGTTAGAATAGCATGTAATAGAGTGGGGGAGAACCTAGATTAAAAGAAAGAATTAAATATTCACCTAATACAAAATAATTGTTTATAAAGTTCATTTATGTAACATACATTTTTTTCAAGGCTGAATGTTTGGAGAAAAATTATGATTTTTTATATAATATTTGATGCATAACAAGATAAATACAATGAAAATGATGAAGAGTTCATTGTAGGGGCTTGAACCATTTAAAACTTAATGCTGGGCAATAACTTTGGCAAGGATGTGGAGAAATTGAACCCTCATATCTTGCTTTGGGGAAAGTAACATGGTATACTCTCTTTGGAAAATGGTATAGCAGTATTTCAAAAAGTTAAACATTAACTTTAAAGTTAAAGTTAAGCAGTTTCACTCTAGGTGTCTACTCAAGGGAATTAAAATTGTATGTCCATACAAAAACTTATATACAGGTATTGGTAGTAGCGTTTTTCTTATTAGCCCCCAAACAACTTGAAAGTCTGTCATCTGATGAATGGATAAACAAGATATTATATATACAAACAATGGAGTATTACTCAATCACAAAAATGAATGAAGTATGGATACATACTGCATAGTATAGCATTAACGAACCTGGAAATATGCTAAGTGAAAGAAGCCAGACACAAACAACCACATATTAACAAAATTCCATTTATATGAAGTGTTCAGAATAGGCAAGTCTGTAGAGAAAGAAAGATTAGTGATTGTCAAGTAACTACTGATGGGTATGGGATTTCTTTGGGGAATGATGAAAATGCTCTAAAATTGGATAATGGTGTTGGCTGCAGAACTAAAACCTACTGAATTGGGTGCTTTAATAGGGTGAATTTTATGATATATGAATTAATCTCAGTTTTTTAAAGTCATGCTTTAAGGCTGGGTGTGGTAGCTCACACCTGTAATTATAGCACCCTGGGAGGCCGAGGAGGGTGGATTGCTTGAGCTCAAGAGTTCAAAACCAACCTGAGCCAAGAGCAAAATCCTGTCTCTAAAACTAGCTGGGCATTGTGGTGGGCTCCTGTAGTCTTAGCTGCTCAGAAGGCAGATGCAGGAGAATCACTTGAGTCCAAGGGTTTGGGGTTGCTGTGAGCTATGATGCCACATCATTCTACTGAGGGTGACAAAGTGAGACTGTTTCAAGAAAAAAAAATGGTCATGCTTTATATGTGATAAAAATTCAGCATTGGTAGCAAAATTAAGAAGTCATCATGGCTCGGCGCCTGTGGCTCAAGTGGCTGAGGCGCCAGCCACATACGCCTAAGGTGGCGGGTTCGAATCCCCAGCCCGGGCCCGCCAAACAACAATGATGGCTGCAACCAAAAAATGGCCGGGCTCTA